GTTTCTTTTTGTTTACTAAAAATGGATTAGCATTTTATTTTTAATAATTATTAAATCTAAGAGACTGTTATTAATATAAGTATCGAATAAATCACAACATTAAATCCTAGTTTTGCTATTTAATTAAAGAAAAAAATGTGCAATAACATAAATAAAAAAAGAAATTGATGTATGTGAAATAATATGTAATAAACCTATACTTCTTAATTATGTTTTATTCATCAATGTGTTACCTATAACATATTCGGTGAAATAACCAGATGTTTTGGACGTATTCTGTTGTAGAGCCTAAAAAAATCAATACTTAAGCATTAAGCATTATGGTAATTACTGTTTATTTTATTAAATAATTAAAATTTGCTTATTATGTAATTATGTGAAATACATAATGTATCAACCAATATTAAAATAATTCAACATTTTTAAATTTTTAAATTTTTCTTATATAATATATTATATATAAAAATAAAAATAGATGTTTTTCGTATCTCCTGAAAAATTGTAAATTTGTACGTAATCAACCTTGTTATTTCACCAGTACATTCAATTCTAAGTGTTTTACTGGACGGTAGTAAAAACATCTAATTTTGAAATGAAGTTCAGTCAGATTTAACTCTGATTTTGTTGCAATTCACCCCACTTTAAGGTATATATTTATGTAAAATTGAAATTATATAATATATTTCTTAAAAATTATATACAATGGTTGCTAATGTAAAGTCTATATCATTTGACTCAACCATAAGGATAAAATTAGTTCCAATTTTCAAAGTAAATTTAACAGTTTTAAATATTTAATTAACTGTTCGACTATAGAAATAAGAACATGAAATATGGACAATTATATTTACTACACATTTTTCCTTTAAATGGCTAAATTATAAAGTTAACCTAACTAACCAATGTTCAGAGGCTCATAGAAAATAGCTGTGGTTTGCTTGTAATTTTAAAATCTTAAAAAAAAGAAGCAAAGAGGAAAAGAGGCATAAAATAACTGTAAGTATTCATTTCAGAAGCCCACATATTTTAAAACTTGTAAGGAATCGGCTGTCTACACCGAGTTTGATAATATGATAATGACAAAATAATTAATTTGATTCCAATGTACTGTATTCACTTTAAGCCATGTACGTTTAAAAAAAATAAAACAAGTTATTAGGAATTAATGTGAAAAATGTATTGGTTTTTTGAATTTACGTAAAATAATACAATTTTATTTTCATCAAAAAAATTCAAACATTTTGTGTTATTCCATTGTTCCATAATCATAATGAATTTCTCGTCAAAATGAAGTTATTTGGCTTTTAATCCCATCAAATGTATTAAATTAAACTCACTCATCATGAAAAACTTCCAATGTAAAAAAAAATTATGATTTTTGTCATTGTAAGAACTAATATTATAAATAGGTACATTATAAACAAATGTAAAAAGAAATCCTTCATAGTGTGGAATTAAAATTATAATTTATAGTGCCCAACATAAAATAGTGTAACACAGAACATTTTTATATTGTTACAAATAAATATGGATTAAATTTAAATGGTTGGATGATTCTATAATTATTTTTTTTCCAGGGTTACACAAATATTTTTAATTTGTAGAAAAAAATCTTAACATCCGAAATGGTTGAATAAATTATGAAACTCTAAAAAATTTTTGTTCAACAACAAAAATTTCCTAGTATTTCCCATTATAGCAGAGAGCATGCACCAAATACTACATACCTACCAAGTGACATTAATGCATCCCTAAAGCATGCTTCTTTCATTGAAAAAAATTCCAATTGTAATATTTCATATGAGTTTTATAGACAAAAACTAAAAGAAAAACATATTTCATTTGCAACTCTAGGTAATGAAGAATGTGAAGTTTGAAAATCGTTTAAACTGCATGAACATAATGATGAATCTTTAACCATTGACTGTGATATTTGTAAAATTAAAATTGAACATTCTGCCCGTTACACTAAATTCTAGAGCTTTGTATCAACAACACGCTGCAGCAGCAGTTTTAACTGATGATATAGTTTATTATTCTGCTAATTTACAAAAAATGATTATGCTACCTCGAGCAGATTCATTTAAGAAAGTAATATTTGTTAGAAAGTTAGTTGCTTACCATGAAAGCTTTGTTCCCTTAGGTCCGAAATCGAATCAAAACACCTTATAGCTTGTATTTGGCCCGAAGCCATTAGTGGTAGAAATAAAGTGGATTCGATAAGTACTTTCTATGCTTTTTTCAAAGAATTAAGAGATATTCCACACATTGGGCTTTGGTTGGATAATTGTTCAAGTCTGAATAAAAAATTGGGCATTATTAAGTTTTTTAGTTTTTATAATTAATTCTAGTGAAATAACATCTAAATTTATAGATTTATTTTTTTTTAAACCTAGGCACACATTCATGAGTGCAGATAACTTTCATCACCAGGTTGAAAAATCACTGAAGAAACAAAAAAAAAACATATGACTTCAAAGATTTTACTAATGCTGTAAAAAATGCAAAAAAAGGGGTTATTGTAAAATGTATGGAACATGATTTTTTGTGGACTGATAATAAATCCCCCAAAAAGACAAATAAAAAAGCTAACTGTGGGGGTGTGATGCTTAAAAATGTAACTACAATTGGAGCTGTACGAGGGCAATATGATCTTTTACATAAAACTGACCTGAACGATGAAAATTATGGGCGTTTAGACATTTTAAAAAAACAATCTTATTAACAAACAAATGATAATGCCTCCAGCTAAAGTAGCTCCATGTGTAATTTCTGAATCTAAAAGAAATAATTTTTTAAACACACTTAAACAAGTTTTACTAGAAGACAGGAAAGTTTTTTGGAAAAATTTACCAGTTTTTTAATTTAAATCTGCTTATTACATTTTATTATAAATACACAATATGGTAAATTAAAATTGTTATTAAGTTATAATCAGTTGTTTTTTTATTAATATGTATTATAAAAATAAATTATGTATACTGCCATATTATTATTAAAAATGTGCCTTAAGTTTTTACTGCGATTTGTTATTTTTCATTAGGTTTTACTTATATTATAAAAACTAAATATATTGTTATTTATTTTATAATAGGTGTTTATATTATGTTTTATTTTGTTGTAATAATAAAACAGAAAAAGTTATGTTTATTTTTTAAATAATTTTATTCTAAAATAATGTATTATTTCAATAAAAAGTTTTAAAATGTATGATTAAGACGGTTCTTTATTATTTGAGTTGATCAATTGTTGTAGTTACTGCATTTTCTACTAGCAGTGTTATATGATATTGATAATACTGCATTTTATAAATTGTACCACTATATGTTTCTATGAGGGTAATGCTAATATAAAACGCAGTAACTGCATTATTATGTGAAAATTGTCAAAAATAATCTATTAATCACAAAATTTATAGCATTTTTGAATTTCTGGCATACATTTCCATCTGTTTCAGTCAAAAGGAATACTTAAAATCTTAAATTTATTAAAAAAATTACGAAAACATAAAAGTTCAATTTCCCGAAAATATGATTTATGTAGTAACTGCTTTTCGCAGTAGCAGGGCAGTATTGACTTTATTTTTTTTTTTGGTAATAGGCGTACATAATTAAATAACATAATATGAGTAAGTATACTTTATTGATACGGACTACAACTGACAAGTATAGTATATGGTATTTATTTCTTTTCTATTTGTAAAAGACATTCTTATTTATTATTATTTCTTGTATAGAAATATGAATGAAACTGAACAAAATCAAATTGCTAATACTACAGGTATGCTACAAAAACCAGAAATGATTACTTTATAGTTTATACAATATGACTAAAGGAGGAGTGGATTTGTTGATCAAATGTCAGGGTCTTATAATGCTGGTAGAACTCCAAATAGGTGGGTCTTAGCTCTCTTCTATAGTTTGTTGAATGTTGCTGGAATTAACAGTAATGCAATCTATAATTCTAATAATAAGTCTAACATAAAACGACGACTATTTTTGAAACAACTTGGTATGAGTTTAGTAAAAAAAATTCAAAATTTAAGAGCTGAAAATAAACATGTACATCCTTGATCCTAGAATAAGAAATCCTACAGAGAGATTAAGAGATGGAGATAATGATGTTACAGAACCTGGGCCTAGTAGAAATCCAGGAACTAAAGGTCGCTGTAATTTATGTGCTGATAGCAAAACTCAGTATTTTTGTTACAAATTCAAAAAATATTTATGTTTGAAGAAACATGCAAATTGTGTGTGCAATGATTGTTTATAAATTTAATTAAGTTAATAATTTTTTTTTTAATTTTAAAACAATTTTCTTTGCGTAAAAAAAGGATAATTTAAGTTGAATTTTTAGATTTTAATATATATACATGATATACATATTTTAAAAATACTAAAGGAAAATCGTTTATTTTATGTTACATTAGTTTCTTGTTTTTATTTTTAATTAAAGTTTGATTTATCTTTTTTGTTAAATAAATACTAATTATGTGTTATTTAACTATCATTACACTTGTACACCATAAATAATATCAAAAATTGTTTATTTTATGTTAAATGAATGTTTTAGAAGTATATTTGAAAATTTGAGTTCAATTATAGACATTTATGGTAAATTTTAAAAAATGGGTCCAAGAAACCCACAGTAGTAGCAGCGTAACTCTTGAGTTGTAACGCAGAGTTAAATAACTTGAAAAAAACCTTAAATTATCCACAATAGATTATATTTTAAAAATGTTGGAATAAAAAATCACATTTGAAGAACACTATTGAAATGAGACAGAAATAAATGCTCAAGTGTATTGAATCGGTGGGACAACATAACAGAACACACACATAGTTAACACGTCACCAGCATAAGTTAGAAAACTTAATTTGACGCGTAAATATCAGTGAGAGAAAAAAATGTTTGCATAGTTATTACTTTAAATGAGACTTATGAATCAAATATAAAAAGCTTAACTTAAAATTATTAAAAGATAATATATTTTTAGTTACGTTTTTAATGTTGGATAAGTATGCCTTGTGTTTGACAGTGTGTACTTTACGGATTTCACCATTATTTTTGCCCATGATTGGTTTTACAACTACGAACTTTTTTTCTATAAAAATAAAAATACATTTCTACCATAGTTTTAAAAACAATAATCAAATACAATTATTACTGGTGTATCATCCAATGATTTTCTGTCCCCTTGAGCTTAGCTTCAGTTTTTTGGTGAATGAAACGCCATGTTCCATTCTTGCTGTACCACTTAATAAATTTTGTTTGAGCTTTTTCTTGGCAAATTTAGCCAAGCTCGCAACTGCTTCCATAGCCTTGACCATCTAAAATTTTGTTTTTTAATTAATACATAAACCTAACGTATTAATAAATAAGTTTGGACAATTTAACAAAAATATCTTGAAAAATAATGAATGGGTACCTAGGTAGGTAGACACAATAATTATTTGTGGAAATATTGTTTAAATTTAGGGTAAAAAAACCTACCTAATCATTTATAACACATTGTTTATACATTTCTTCAATTTTAAATAAATATTGATGATGATACTTTAAATAGATGAAATTGATAATAATTATTAAGGACACAAAATTGAACATATAATATTAGTTCCTTAGTGGATAATAGTTGATGTCCTAAAAATGTAATATCAATAAGCTAATTAGTTAAATTAAAATACCAACGTATATAATATTATTTAAAATAACATTAAATGATATGTACTCTGCCGTCATAAGCAAAACGCCGTAAGTCCCAGAAAAAATAAAAATGAGTTAAAAACAAATAAATTATTGTAAAATTTGGCATGTCTGAAATATTACTCCAAAAGTATAATACAAGCAATAATCAAATAACTAAAACGCCATAAGTCGTAGAAAAGTTTGTGGTTACTAGGAAAAAACGCTACAAATACACTGTACTAAGCACTAACGCCGTAAGCATTGTTGAAGATATTGCATTTTATCTTAGAACATAGTACAAACTTGACTGTATTTTGGCTTAGTAACATGGGCAGGTTTAAGTATCGCAAAACAAGTCGACTATCGGAACAATTTCTTTTTTTCATGGAAGGATTATAATAAAGCACAGCAAAAATTGAACCAATCAACAAATCATATTTTACTCAAAGACGTAGTATCTGTTCAAGTTAAACATGGGAAATTTATATTGTACACTAAAAGCAATTACGATGAAGAATATTCAAAATTTAACTTTAAGAAACAATGTTATGAAAATTAATGGAATGCCGCATCCTATATCATTGACAAAACCACGAGGGATACTAAAAGAAAAACTTAATAGTATCCTTCAAAGTTTGTCCCAAGTTCTGCCAGCTAACAGAAAAATATTCCTACTCGTTAGTTATAAAAATAATGTATTTTTTTTTATAAATTGACTGAAAAATAATATTTTTGTTTTATGAATTAAATATTAAAATGTATAAATAATTGTATCATATCAAAAATTGTTACTAACAAGTTTACAGCATTCTTCCTATTGAATAAAGTTTCAAAAGTTTATACTACTACTAAGGTACAACGCAAAAAGTAAAATATCTTGTTAAAAATTAATGTAATCATATTTATTATTGTTTCATTGCATCCGTTGGATAAAATTACATAGGAAAACATATATATCATATTTAAATAATTATAATGTACAAGGTGTTACAATTTTAGGAAAATATAGAACAAAAACGCGTTTTTCTCAAAATCGTTCTACGGTGACCTACAGCGTTTTCGCTTATGTACATATTATTATATTACAATAGGTACTTATCGTAAATATCTAAGACTACATTTTTCAGATTCTGGACGTTACACAATCAACCCAATAGCCAAAATAGACCAAAATTAAATTTTCTCTGGACAAATCAATAGAACGGAATGAGATTAGTACAATACCGACGACTTATTTTCCTATGTAGCTAATGAAGTTAAAAATCGAAAATCCCCGATTAACAAATGTATGTGTATTACAGTGTGTTAGTTTTACTTATTCACATATAAATTAACAGATACATAAAATATTAACAGATTATAATCGAAAAATACGTCAGCACAGCAAACTCGAAGTTTACACAACAGAGAAGCAAGTCGATTTTTCGAAGGAAATTGTTTTGTTCATATTTTACAAAATGCTTTTTTTTACAGATGCAGATCAAAACCATCGTTATTTGCGAACCTTTCGAGATCGGGCTGATAAAAACGGATGAAAAACGGTACTTACTATACTGGAAACTTGATGGAAGTACAACACTATGCTAACAGATCCGTCGTAAAAATTACAAATAATACAAATAATACAGATATCGGAAATGAGAAAGAGAACAAACATTGAGGTTGCTTCTTTACAGTGTCGGCAGTGTCAGCGGCGAACAATTTCGTTTTCTGCCTATACAAATTATTCCAACATGGCGTCACTACACTGTTATCACAAAATAATATTGAATTTTTACATTTTTACCGCCAACTTTTGAAATCAATAACTAGCAATAATAGGGAATATGTAGGTCGTGTAAAAGCCAAAATTTATATTAATAAGATACACTAGTATTATTGACTAACTTCATGTATTCGCGATTATGTCGATATGCAACAGTTATCGTATAATATTTAGTCTCTACGAAAAGTTATGAAGTACACATTTCTGATTTCTTAAAAAATGTTCGATTCAAGAGCAGATAACATTATTGTTATAGTAACTACATATTTTTTTTATAGTATGGATACTTTGCTTTCTATTTTTATAATAGAATAAAATTTGTGCACAGTAGGAAATCCCAAACATAACCAGATAACTGATAAAGCTTACAATGGGTGACTTCATCAAAACTATAAATTACAGAAACATATATAGGTACACCCAATTATTATGACATAAAAGAGAAATATAACTGTACATTATGTCAGTTTTACAGAAGTACATAATACCAATACCATGACTGTGGTGAGAAATTTAATTCAAAAATTAAAATAATTAAACACATAAATTCACATGATGGTTGTCAATTAGGCCATATTAAATGTTCTTACAAAAATTGTGAACTATCATTCAAAACAATGAAAGAATTTTCAAAACATTTGTCATTTGAACACAATACGAACATTGAAATTGTATCACTTAATTTCAATACTATGGAAGGTAAACTAAAAAAAATTATTAATAATGTTAGCAAAAAATTATTACTAAAAATTTTGTATAGAATTTCTCAAGTGGAAAACTGATGATGACAATCGAGATAAATGTCAGTATGTACGTAGAACATAAAAAAACAATAAAATGGGGTCAAATATTTATATTATGTTTGTCATCGTTCAAATAATCCAAGATCTTCAAGCACAGTAAATAAACTTATTATATAATAAATTTATTTATTCTTTAAAAAAAATTAAGTACATGCATAATTAGGGAAAGAGAGTATTAAAAAGTATTGGATCAGCTAAAATATCAAAAATTTGTCCTTCACATATAATAGTCCACAGAAAAGAGAATATAATAAATGTACAACAATGGAGTACTCATTTATGGCATAAAAATGAAATTGGAATGCAAAGATTGCATACAGAGGATAAATCCATGTTAGCAGGTAGGTAACTATTATGATACATAACTGTCATAATTCATAATTATTTTATTAAATAAATCAAAAAAAAAGTAATTATAAAATATTATAATAAATATATAATAATTATTAAAAATGTTGTATTAGGTAAATAAGCTCTTGGTGTACCAATTCAAAGGGTGCTGAATGATATTAGAGAAACAGTAGTTGGGGCAGATTTCAAACGAATTCATTTATTATAAAAATGTGATTTGTACAACATCTTAAGAGATTATAAAATAAATAACAATTCAATTAAGCAACATGAAAATGACTTTGTAAGTGTTCAATTATGGGTAGAACAAATGAAAAAACAAAAAGATGGGAAGAATCAAATTTTATATTTTAAACATCAAGGACAAGAAGACTCTAAATCAAATTGATCAAAAGATTACTTTTTTCTTGTAATAACGACCAATTTTCAAGCTTAGATGTTACTACAATTTGACAATAACAAGATATGCATTGATGGAACTCACGGGTTGAATAGTTACAGCATTCAACTTTATACTTTGCTTGTTGTGGATGAATATGACAATGGTGTTCCAGGGGCATTTTGTTTCAGCAACAAATCCGACACAGCTACTTATAAGTTGTTTTTTGAATCTGTAAGGAGTTCTATAGGAGTTATTAAATCATCAGGATGTCAGACGATGAGCCAGCCTTTTATAATGCATAGAGTTCTATAATGGGCCCAACTCCTAAGCAGATTCTATGCACATGACATGTGTTAAGAAATTGGAGTAAAAATCTTTCAAAGATAAAATCCCAGGACAAAAAAATTTTAGTTTTCAAGTCATTAAAAGCCTTATTATATGAGGCGCCTAGAACACAAGGGGTATAAGCGACATTTTTAAAAAATCTGAGTTAAGTGCACAGCTAAAATATGAACTTTCCGTTTTATTTGGTGGTAAAGAGATATAAGTGAAGTATTTGATATGTGCTGCAATCTAGTAGCAAATCACTTAACCTCCAAACAAAAATAATATCTTTATTAGAAGAAAATGGGTTCAAGCGCACCTATACCTTTTTTCCACCATACCATAACAGCTGTTAACGCACTTAAATTCCTTTACCGCCAAAACGTATATTTACCAATGGTCTATGGTTATTATTATTAACATTAAGGTTGATAATATGATAAGAATTATTATATTATTATTTATTATATTATATTAATAATTATAATATATTATAATTATTAGCAGTCTTTTCCGTAAAAAAAAAAATAATAATACCGATTTTAATTGGCAAGTTAACATGGAGCTTGAAGAACTTGACAATATGAGTAGTGGTAAGTGATTTGAACAATTAACTTACAATAATAATTAATTTAGTATAGAGTACAATGCTCTGGAGTCAAATAAAATGTTTAATAATTTTAATTATAGATGATGCACATTTGCTTAGTGCAGATGATAGTGATGCAGACAAGGACTATTTGCCAGATGATAATAATAACACAGACAGTCATTTAGGTAATATTTAACCATACAATAACATTGTATCCTAATTTTCCATTGTAAATCATATTTTACTGTTCCTTCCACATGAAACAATCGTGAGACTTTCTCATTATGTTAATGATAATAATAACAACAATAATAATATAGAATCATAAGTATTATATTTACTAAAAAATTATTATTAATTGATATTTACAGAAAGCTATGAAGATGATAATCTACCAAGAAATGCCGTACCAGTTGTATCACAGACTTCTAGGAAAAAAGTCAGAAGAATAAATGAATGGAAACAGGTGAAAGCTAAAAAATTAAGAAATGAAGGTAAGGTCTATGTAGATCGAAAAGGTAAAACACGCAAAAATAAAAGAATAGTAGAGTACAATCATCAATGTAGGTTTAAATGTAACACGAATGTACCTGAAGATGTTCGAAAAGAAATCTTTAATGAATACTGGAAAACAGGTAATTGGGAGTTACAATCTGCATTTTTAAATGGAGCAATTACTTTGAATCCTGTTAGCAGAAAAAGTACCAATGCCATTAAAAACAAATCAGTCTCGTGTGTTTACAGTATTAGAGAATTCAGAGTTTGTCAGGAGTTCTTTAAAAAAACACTTTGCTTATCCAACAAAAGGATTCAAAATATTGTGAATAAAAAGAAGATGTCAGTTTCTGGTGTTTCTCCTCGTGACAATAGAGGTAAAAAGATACCAGCAAATAAAATATCTGAAGAAAGGGTAAATATCATAAAGGAGCATATCAATAAATATCCCAAGTATACAAGCCATTATAATAGAGAGAAAAATCCCAATCGCAAGTTTTTACCTACAGGATTGACAATTAAAGAAATGTATAAAGCTTATCAAGAATTTTGTAATACAGTAAAGCATGTTGAACCGGAAAAAGAAAGTTTTTATAGACATATATTTAACACAAAATTCAACCTAAGCTTTCATAGACCTAACACAGATACATGTGATATTTGTGACAAACTGACAAAGAAAATAGAATTTGGTACACCTGAACAAAAACAAGAGTCAAAAAACCAAAAAGAACTCCATCTTGGTAGAGCAGAAGCTGCCCGTTTGGCCAAAGATAATGCCAAACATATTGAGGATAATACTCACATATCAATCTGTTTTGATTTGCAAAAAACGCTGCCAACACCAAATTTGTCAAACCAAAAAGCCTACTATTTCCGTCAATTGTGGACCTACAATTTAGCAATACATGAATTAAAAACTGGTATGGCTAACATGTACATGTGGCATGAAGCTCAGGCATCCCGTGGATGCAAAGAAATTGCATCATGTTTATTTAAATTTATAAAGAGCATACCTTCAACAGTAAAGCACATTACATGTTTTACAAACAATTGTGGAGGTCAAAATAAAAGCCAAATCATTGTAAAATTTTGGCTGTATGTTGTTAGAACAACAAATATTGAAACTGTAAATCATAGATTTTTTTGTTGTGGTCATTCATACAATGAATATGACCAAGACTTTTGTCAAATTGAACTAAAGAAAAGGCGTATTAAGGAAAGCATCTATATTCCAGAACATTGGTATGACTTGGTGAGTTCCACAAGTAAAAAATTTATTGTAGTCAAAATGGAAGATAAGGTTTTTATTGATCTTGAATCTCTTCAACCTCACTTTAAGAAGTCAGTTCCAGGGATACGTCAGATGCAGTGGTTACATTTTGAAAAAAGTAGTCCAGATACTCTGTATTTTAAACATAGAGCTGCTGATGGGCTAGAGATGTTCAGTGAGATGTCTATGAAGGTAAAAAATTGTCGTGGGAGACAGAAACAATTTCCAAAACACTTACCTACAGTAAAAGAAAAACCGGTACTAAAACCAGCAAAGGTTAAGGACCTGCTAGATCAAATCCAATACATACCCCCAATTCATCATCAATTTTATAAAAACTTGACTAATAATCCTTTATATACTAGTAATAATACTGCTACCAGAGAAGATAATCAAACAGAAGATAATGTTGAGGCTTCTGAGATGGACTTATACACTTTGTATGACACTGATGAAGATTAAAAAATATTTAACAATAAAACATTTTTCAAAAGACTGTCACAGACTGACATCAAAAAATTATTATTAATATTATAACTTTATTGTTTTTCTATTGTTTTAGTTTGTTATTAAAAAGAGTCAAAGACTGACATACAAACGTTGTCATTAATAATATTATAATTTTGTTATTTTTATTGTTTTTATTCTGTAATAATTAAAAAATTACCAATTATTATTAATATTATTAAATTTAAAAAAAAGGTGTATTGTTAAACTATGGTCAAAGACTGACATGCAAATATTGTGATTATTTTAATATTAATAAACTTTACATTTTTATACATTATATTACCTGAAGTCTTAAGTTTTTATTTTTAACTCACTTATACTCTTTACTTCAAATGAATAACAAAATATTGTGCATTTGCGGTAAAGGGGTATAAGTGAGATCAAAGGTCAAACAATTGCCCATATATCAAACATTTTTTGTTCAACCTTTACAATATCACAAAAAATAAACTTTTATATGTGTACAGATAAAAATTCAATAATTAAATTAAACAATAACTTTAATTGTCATTTGTGAGAATGTGTTAACTTTGAACTTGATTATAACGAAATACAAAGAATGTCGCTTATACCTCTTGTGTTCTAGACGCCTCATATGAAATTGATGAAAATAGATTTTACAAAGAAGTATCTTCAATAACTAATCAACTAATAAGTGATGAAGATACTGTTGATTTTGGCCAATATTTTATTACCACATATTTGTCAAGAATAGAAAAATGGGCGTTTCTCAATCGTAAACATATTGGTATAAATACAAACATGTACCTTGAAGCTTTACATAAAAATATAAAATATTGCTACTTGGATGATAAACAATGCAGAAGATTAGATTTCTCTATCAATGCGTTAATGCTATTAGTAAGAGACAAGTCTTTTGAAAGAGGGATAAAAATATTGAAGAAAAAAAATCTTCAAAAGTGTTACAAATTATTAGTAGTCAAAATAAAAGTGAAGGCATTCAATCAGATAAAATAGAACAAATTGAAGATAATGTATGGTTGGTAACCTCAGATACAGATACAAAAATTAAATATTCAGTAGAAAAAGTTGATATAATATGTAGCAATTGTGCTTTAAGTTGCAATCAATGCAATATTTATGTTCACACATTTAGATGTTCTTGCATACACAATGTTATTTATTTAAAATGTTTGCAAACACATACATGCAATTGCAAAGTTAAATATTTCAAATCAATTATTAAAAGGTAAAAAAATATCAATACCAACAATCAACTAAGAATTAATATTAAAAAACGCAGTAGAAATAAGTAATCTAGCTCCTTCATTAGATGATGAGATAAAAAAAATGGAAATTTTGTTTGGAATGTAAAATCGATCGAATCTAAATGAAGAGAACAAAAAGACAATAATTATATATTGTGATAAAATAATGTCCATTATTTCTTTAGACACTACACCAATTAATACTAGTAATAATAAATAAAACATAGAAAAACAAAGCCGTTTTAAAATAAAAAAAAATAATAATAAAAATAATTTAATGGATATCACACTATCTAAAAATGAGAGCCAACTAATAAGAGATTCATTAATGGAAGATTTAAGTGGTGAAGTATTAAATATCCACTCTTCAAATGACCATAGTTACTTTTTATAAAAATAAAAATTTATAACATTTTAATTTACCTTTTTTATTTTAGCTATTATTGAATTTAATTTTTACGACGATTATTTGAATTTAACAAATATTATAATTGACTTTATAGTTTACAAGTATATTTTAATATTATTTTGTGATAAATATTATATTTTGTGATAACAGTGTAGTGACACCATATTGGAATAATTTGTGATTTTTTTTTGCGAAGATCCATTCGTGTCTGTCTATAGGCTATACCACAGAGTAAATAAATAGATCAATACAAGTGGTAATGT